AGAAGTCAGATGAGGAAAAACATTAAAATTATATACAACTTCTCGTAACATTAGTTAATCAGTGCACACACACATATACACAGTAAATCATGTAATAACACATAGAGGCCGGTAGTGTAATTTTTGTGTTGCCGTGCCAGGTTCTCACACAAAACCGGTATGAATCTGAATCTACTTCCTTAAGGGCGTAAAGCTATGATCTCAGGTAGTAAATTTGAAACTATTTTACACAAGACCCAGGAATCTGCTTTGGAGGAACAGATTTTCTGTTCTATGTTATAGGAGGAAATGACTTTACCAATGCATCTATTGTATTGCATAAAGTAGGCAGAACATTACTGTTCTGATTCAGTCTATCGCCATGACCACTTTTTATTGTTAAATTCTGAAGCCTGAGTTAAGAAGGAGATACGATATAAAGGTCAGTTTCTTATGAATATGGCTTTCTGCTTAGCAGCCGTCAAGTCCATATGGAGCCTTGCATTACATAAAAATCCCCCTGAAACTGCCAAAGTCAGCAAAAGCTTCATAACAATCAGTTGGGGTCAAAACCTTGTCTTTAAATTAGGGAATACAGAAGAACTATGTGACATAAAGGATATGCCATGTTAACAAGTTAAACCAACATTTTGCCAAGGCTTGGGGATTGCAAGCTAATAATAATTAATGAAGGATTATGAAAAATTTATTTTAAAGTAGAAATGAACTTTATTGAGAAGAGGACATAGTGCTATCTATGCTAAAACTACAAAACCAGTTTATCCAAGAGGTGAATTATAAGTTTATTTAAATCTTGCAATAGTCATAATCTTTAAGGCTTGGCCCCTGTTCTCCCATGAAATCTGGTATTCAAGGTAAAGTTGTGAGAGAATTATAATGATAGAAGTCTCCCCTGTACTCATGATCATCCCCTGTAAGAGCTGGGGTAGGGGAAGCCCTGAAGAAGTCATATGAAATAGTTTCTGAAGACTTGTACACGTAGGAACTCCTCCGATCAATGATGTCAAAGCTTAGAAAACATTACACAGCTGGAAGATGGTCTATACTGGAGAATACATTCCTTTTACCACATCATAGCAATGAAGTTCTACTTTTTTTCTTTTTTTTTCTTTTTTTTTTTTTTCTGAGAATATATAGTTTATACTATGCATATTGCTACTTACTTTTTTGCAATACCTACTTTCTCAATTTGCCACATTACCCTGGGCATTCCTTTCAGAACCAGAGTGAAGAGGGATGCCGTTTGGACTTATTTATTTCTTCAATGGCAATTTCAGATTCTTTCTCAACTAGATTTCACACAGCACAAAAAGGAACATATTCTCAGAAAAAAAAAAAACAAAACACCAAAAAAACCCCTGTTTGGGAAGCTTTGTGCCAGATGAATGGAGAACTGTGGGTTGAGTTTGGGATTATTTGAAGAAAGCAATCCTGTCTTCTCTCATGGTCCAGGTCTACAGAGAAGTTTTCCTTCACCTTCCCTAGGAGGGTACAAGGAAGTTAGGGCGTTTCAATAGGAAATTATGCCAGAGGATATAAATCAGCAGAGGAGACAGCGTGTAGATGTGCACCTTCTGTGAGAGAACTTTTTTTTCCCTTTTGGAAGTAGTGAAGAGTCAGGGAGGTTTCTGTCTGTCTGAAGAGAAAGTGGGGACAGGCAAGGAAGCAATACTCTTCTAAAAAGATAAAAACAAACTTGTATGCAATTTTGATCAGAAATTCTGATCAAAAGGCAGTGGATGGAACAGGAACAAGGATGGAACAGGAGCAGGTATTCAAATACTTCTGAAGAGCTGAAAAGGGTGCCCAGAATATGAAAAGATGTGTTTGAGTTGTGAAACAAGTAATTCTTTTGAAGTGGCAACTAAAGTAGGGTGTGCTAGAAAAAAATTAAAACATCCTTTTGAAATGGAGCTAACCTCCTGAAAGAAATTCTACAAGCTGGATGAGAAGTCGGTGTTCATCAGGAAACTATATATATATTTTATTTTACGGTATCACAAAGTTGTCATAACAGTTGTTGTATACCATCAGTCTATTTTTGAAGAATTTCATCCATGCAGTGTAAGAAATTCCATAAAAAGTAAAATAAAATAATGGAATGCCAAGGAGGAAGGGGCATTATGAAAAAAGAAATTCATCAGTGGTAACTGATGAAAAATGTTTGTTTCCTCAAATGGGAATTAACTGGAGGACTTTATTACCAAGATCAGTGGTTTCTTGCTGCATGTTACACCTTTAACTCTTGAAGATGAAAAATATCTCTTTTTCCTTCTGTGTCACCAGTTCAAACATAATCTGAAGTGATAATAACTGAACTGTTACCATCTGTACCCATTTCTGCCTTGGAATCGGATAGTTGCTTTTAAGAGACATTAGTGAGGACTGCTGCTGAAAGAGAAGGTCCCAATCCCTGACCACAAATGTTCCCACCAGCTCCCTTGTGCTGGCACTAGAGCTCACACAGCCATGTGGTGAGCTAGTTCAGGGAATTGATCCAACTGAGAACAGCAAAGAAAAATAAAACAATCAGTTTTCAGCTGAATCTATTTCCTGAGATAATCCTTGAACAGCTGCACATGCTCTAGTGCCAGGATTGGCACAAGAGAGACAACAGGAATGCACAGCCAAGACAGGGAGATGACTTACAGTGATCATCAAACTGCAGACTTAGTCCACTGCGTACACTAGACCAGTGAAAAGCAGTGCTTTTCACTAATTCTACTTCAAAATGGATGAACCTTGGACTAGATGGAAACAAAGTGGTATCTCTGAAGCTGGGATTTCAAAGATAAATGTTTAACCACCTTGAGCAAAGCAATGTGAATGAAGCTTGATGTTGACCTACAGTGGACCACATTTTAATCTTGAACGTCTGACCACTCTGCCCCAGATGGTACATTTTGTTAAAAA